ACGTCGAAATTTTTTGATTATTTTGACATATGTGCGACGCACATCTAGCGAACAAGTAACGAATTCAGCGCATCCACTGCGTATGAGATGCGTATGAGTTGCGTATGCAGTGCGCAAGTTCGCCATCTGTGCGTTTCTCATAAGTTACGAATAAGTACAATGCGCTGCCCGCTCGCAGGACGAGCGGTACTAATTCGTGCAATACGTCGCTATGTATACGTTTAATATAGGAGGTCAGCGTATTGCCGCGTATGAACGGCTTATCCCTCACGAACACATAGCGTACTCGTACCGCGCTCGACCGATGCGGGATCATTGCGCCGCTGCGTATTTATAACTTATGACCTGCGTAACAGCGTACGCAGCGTAGTTTTGTGCATGCCCAAAGCTATCCAGCGTACTGGGCCGTACCATGCGTATGCCTGCGTACATAAAACTTACATAAAACGATAGAGATGCATATGAGGTGCGTATTGTGCGTACGACTGCGTATGAAAAAAAGTCAATGCGCAACTCATAAGGAATTAGGATACGCAGAAGTGTGACAGGGCCCTAACCACGTGTGTACGTCTCCACAGCACACAGAACAATGCTGGGCGACGCGCAGCCAATCACATATCTGCGCGCAGTCTTCGCTCGTACCCCCCGCCCTGCAAACAGGACGCTGGGATACTCTGATGAGCTTCACAGAATCTTGTGAAGGAAGTGGCCTATGACCTTTGTATAAAGCATCTGGCTGCAGCTGTTCAAGACCGCAGTTAGACTATGTGCGCAAATGCTATCCGAAAACTTCCTATAGAATTGCGCACAATCCATACCGGATGTGATTTCTGTTTCTTTGCGGACCATGTGGACAAAATTTTGAGCGTCGCATAATGCAATCCGACCGTTCGTGATTCGAAACGGAGCCTGAGCGAGTGACGGGAATTGTAAATTTACAACACAGATAAGTTTTGCAGAGTTTCCAACATTATTACGCTTTTCAACGAGAAAAAAATCTCTATTAAACTGGAATACAAGAGTAATGAATCAGTCTTAACGGCCGTTTCAAACCTTGCAGAGTCATGACCTTGATGACGCGCAGGTCACTTGTGACGTAAAATCCAACCAATCAGAGCGTGAATTCATCAGAGTATCCCAGCGTCCTGTTTGCAGGGCGGGGGGTACGAGCGAACGCGCAGTCACGTACACTCATGCTCCACCCCGTGACATTGCTCACTGGGGGAATATCCCTAAATTGTGCTAGTCTCCTAACCAGCCTACATGTTTATAGAACACTTTCGCCACAGTATACAAATCCAAAATGTCAGACAGTATGTCGTTTCAGTCGCAGTAGTATCTTGCTCAAAAGACTTCCGAGAATTATGTTACAGGGATCAAAACATCAGACTCTCTGTTTTTGGGGGGTATTTTTTTTTTCAGTTTGAAAATTATTTATGGTCGTTACAGAGCAGACTTCAATGTTTAAAAGTTGTACTTGAAATAAGTCAATGTATTTTTCTTTTTACAGCTTCTCCGGTGGTAACATCCCTGAAATTCAGGGACGGAATCATCACTTGTGACGCAGATGCCAATCCACTCAGACACGTTGAGTATTACATCATTCTAAATGGCACCAAGCCTAGCTCACCTACGGGTAAAACCATGCCATTCAATTTCGAGGACAATTACTGCACTGAGGTCAGCTGTAATATCACAAATGCGATTGGAACTGGGTCACGGAAACTTGAAGAACCGCTTTGCCCAGGTGAGTTTTCGTCGATTGTAATTAAAGAATTCACATGATGCAATTTAGTTGTATCTTTTAATTAAAAAACACTCATAATTTATTTCTTCTGAGCATCTGTATGCTTTTGTGATATTCAATTTCCGCACTCTTTTCACATAAATTAATTTGTCCCGGCTGTAACATCTGAGTTGATGAGACATTCATTTCTTTTAACATTTTCTTCCATAAAACCTCGCCATTGTCATTCTGTGTCAGAAATTTTCTATAAGTAAAACAAAATATGAGTTTGAGATTGGAATTTTCTTTTGAAATTCATTACTTGATCACAATTCTCACTATACACATTCTCGGTTTACATTTCAAAGGTGTTGGTCGCGTATTGCTTTGGACGACAGAAGGTGTAAGAAATGTTAAGATCAAATAATATTAACTTTTTATATGTTTCTGTTCATGCAGCTCCTGCCAACAGTCTCACCATAGCTGTTGATGGTGTAGACAAATTCTCTGGTGCAATAGTGACCGTGACAGAGTATACTGACGTCACACTTTCCTGCAGAGCCCTGGGAGCTATACCACGGGTGTCCATAGACTGGTTTAACGACGGCAATCCTCTTACACCTGACACCGAAACGATTCCACCTGATGGTGAGGCAACAGATACACAGAGTATATGCAGCCCATTCATCCCAACACGACGTGATAATGGGGGCTGGATAGAATGTCGCACAATAGGACCTCAAACTACACAGTCTGAATTCATTTCCCTCAATGTTCTGTGTAAGTTATTTATATTTATATTGTAATTGCTGTATTACTTGGAATAGCGTTCTGAAAAAGTTGATTAATTTGTATATACATACAAATTGTATGAAAGCACATCTTAACGTTTGGTAAACTAATATCACCTACACAAAGACATCTGAATAAGAGCGAATGAAAATCAATTAAATGTAGTGTATGATTCTGAAGATCTGAACAAAAAGCAAATATTGTTTACACTGATGACTTGTCTACAGTTTTGTGATCACGTATGCCGGAAAAAAGAAACAGACGCTCTACTTATAGTCTATTTCTCTGACTCTACTTCAGACGAAAAAGAGCAATTTACTAAAGTCAGGGAGTTGTCAGGTCATCTGGTTTGTATCCGTTCACGTATGTGTAACTGATTGCAAACAAAATGTGCACTAACTAAATTTGGTGGATTAGGGACGATATTCGAAAAACAAAGTCATTTTCCGTCGGTGGTGGGCCAACAATCATTGGAAATTAATACACACAATTCCATTTTCTTGAAAATGACATCATACCAGGTGCCATGATTTTACAGGATGCTTGATATTATTATTCCCTTACGGTCTAGAAAGCATTTCATAATAATTTGGAAGATTTTGGATGTTTGCATATGTTGTACATTACCTTCAACCCAGATGTACATACACAAATCCAAAATGTTAGACGGCATGTTGCTTCAATCGCAGTAGTATCTTGCTCAAAGGCTTTCGAGAAATATGTTACAGAGATCAAGACTTTAGGCTCTCTTTTTTGATCAGTGTGAAAATTATTATTGGCCGTGACAGAGAAGGATTAAATGTTGAGAAGTTTTAATTAGGCTAATAATATATATTTTTCTTTTACAGTTTCTCCGCTGGTAACATCCCTGACATACAGGGACGGAATCATCACTTGTGACGCAGATGCCAATCCACTCAGACACATCGAATATTACATCATTCTAAATGGCACCAAGCCTAACGCGCCTACTGGTAAAACCCTGGGGTTTAATGTTGATGACAATTACTGCACAGAGGTCAGCTGTAATGTCACAAATACGATTGGAACTGGGTCACAGAAACTTGAAGAACCGCTTTGCCCAGGTGACTGAGTTTTCGTCCAATGCAATTAAAGAAATCAAATAATTTAACTTGGTGATTTTCTTTAAAAAGTCCTTCCACTAAAAAAATAAAATTCATTTATTCTCGAGCGATCCTACTGTCGACGACAAATAAATGCAATTTTCTATTTCAAGTTTTCTGTCACATTAATTTAAACTGTTTATAATTCATCCAGGCCCTATAATATCAGTTGGAACAATTTATTCCATTTTGAACATTCCGTCACCGACATCACGAAGTAACACTCATCTACATACCAGTAAAAACTAGCAATCGGAGAAAACGGCAACTAAAGTTGAACGCCTTCTAAAACAACACTGTGCGTCAAAACGACAGAGTATTTTCAGTTGGGTTTCTCGTTGTGGACACTTGATGAATTGAATTTATTAAATCTGCTGTTTTTCACTCGTTTGTGTATTAAATAAACAAGAAATAAGAGAAAAAAGATGAGTGTTAGTTCGTGAAACCGAAAAAGCTGCGAAACTGTTAATTTTCGTTTTCACGAAGTAACACTCTTCAATGTATTTAACACGAGGAAAGTGCAACTTCAGGTCAGCGCGCGCGCGCTCATACAACTTGTTACAAGAAGAGTGTTACTTCGTGAAAACGTTTTGCTCACTTATGAGCAGAGTGCGCGCCATGCATTGCAATGGAAAATGGAACTTGAGTGTTACTTCGTGAAAACGAAAATTGTCACTTTTGCGCAAAAGTTGCCATGGATACTTAGCGTAATTATTAAAGTAAAGCTCTTGAAGCTTTGAAACTTCGTGCAATGGTAGGCCTTGATGAATAATGTTTAAAAATCCAAAAAACTGAAAATCGAAAAAAATATGCTTTAACACGGTAGAGTGTTACTTCGTGGTGTCGGTGACGATTTTTTTTCAATGAAACTCCCGTCAAAACATTCCTGACAATGCCATTCTTTGTCAAGCAATTTAGTGTACGGCGAAAGATTTAGTTTCAGATTGGAATTTCATTGAGGAATCTCATTATCTAATCAAATATCTCGGTTTACATTTCAAAGGTTTTGCTCGTGTATCGCTACCAACAACAGACGGATTAATTCAAAGCACCAGTACCACAGACTCCTCCAGGAAGCAAGGTAAGTTTTGCAACATTGAAAATGAATTAGATTTAATATATTAAGTGCGCCTTTACAACATGATCATTTACCAGATAACCTTACATATATGAAAACCTTGGCTTTGTGGTTTTTTGTTTCAAAAACTTGACGATGCAGTTATCACTTGATAGAGGCCATTCAGAGAGTCCGCAAGATATAACAAAGGATAACATAGGCCAAAATGTACTGATTGATTACGAAAACTGACATAATAAAGCTCATGTTGTCTTACAGCTTCCTATCCTGTAGGCATCATTATTGGACTTGTATTGGCAGCCTTTGTCATTGTGGGTGTCGCTTGTGGTATTGCTATTGTCATATGGAGACGTCGTCAGAGACCATTGGAAACCGGCGTACAAGATGGCATGTAAGTCAATGTAAAAGGCTACGTTGAGGCAGAGACTAATATTTTCTGTGAAAGTTTGAAACCCTAAGTTGTGATTTTCCGTTACTAGACGTTTTGAAATAGGCTTCATAACACAGCTTTTAAGGTACATTAATTTTCCTTCAATAAACTTATGTCTATTATCGCACCCAGACAGAAGGATAAAAAGTACCAATCTGACAGTTTTTGTTGTAATTAAGAAAAGCTGTTTTTGGAAAACCCAGCATCAACCTACCGGTTTTAAGCATGAACCAATAACAGTTAACTTGATTAAAGTATAACACATCAGCACCTGTAAGACATTGCGATACTTTGTGTTTATTCACTGAAAAGATCAATAAAACCGGAGAGTGTTCTGGCTGGTTTGGACGCTACAGCCCACAGCGAGTAATAAATAGGGCGTTTTCAAGCTCTACAGTGACAAGGGGGTAGAGACCATTTCTGTTCATCATTATTTTCCTTTCAGAAATGACATTGTATCACAAGGAGCAGACAATCACAACTCGCCACTGCCTGCCAGTGATCACCATCATCCGAACGGTAAGCACCAGAGAGTAGATGCTGTAAAAAAGGACAATAATGAACGAAATTGAGAAAATGGGTAGGAAAAAGTCAAATAATTAATGAAAGGGGTCTGACGGTCCTATCTTACCAAGATCTTCTTCAGAGGCAAATTTAAAAAAGATTGTTGAAATAAAAAAAAAACCACTACACCGATGTATTGTGCCATGACGGTTAGTAAATCATGTACTCTTTTTAACTTCCCTTTTTCTGAATTAATCCTGCGTCTTGGTCAGCTTTGACCTAAATCACTTCCCGGACAGTGTATCAATGTTCGAATATATATTAAGACACTTTCTATGTCAAACGGCTTGGAAGTGACACAATGTCAGATCAAATCATCAGGGTCCGGCTCGAATCCGACAGCGACTTTGGATGGTAAACATGTGTATGGGATAATAACATCGAATTATTGTTAGTATGTTCTGCACTGCACTAGATGAGCATTTTCAAGTTGCACTTGCCAGATGTATGTCTCAAATTCAATTTTAAAATTGAGTAAATCTAAAAATGTGTTTCAGACATTCCACTGCACAAAATTGCCACAGCGGAGGTACGCGAGAGTGTTCCCAATGAAGACAGCGTTGAGCCGGAGGCATCAAACGACGTGGAGTACGGCAATGTAGGAAAGGAACTCTCTTTCTCACGATATCTTCTGGTGATCGAGAATGAGCTGGGACGAGGGCAGTTCGGCAGAGTGCTTTTGGGAAAGGCACTTGGGATCGAGGAAGTCGGAAAAGAAACGAAGGTTGCCGTTAAAACCGTGAAAGGTTTGTTGTCATTTATAGTAATGTCATTCAACAAATCGGGGCTTTGTGCATTGGAGAGATTTTTTGGATGCATACTGTTAAGTGATTTGTCTTGATGACAATCACAGCAACATATTGATTAAACACCTATTGGTCTTTACTTGATCAAATTTGCTTTTTGTCGCTTAAATTTAAATGGTATCTGTATTGCTTTCCCTATTTGTAAGCACCTTCCGCCCTTCTAACTTACATGCTGCCTACAGCTCTTTCCAACTAGTCCAGAGGGACAGTTTCTTGTGAAAGACACGTGTTTGAGTGTTCATGGTGGAGCTCGAAAGCTTAAAAAACAAGTGCACTAAAAGTCGATCGTTGCATATATTCAGTGGCGTAGCCACGGGGGGGGGGGGGGGGGGTGGGGGGGGGCGACCGCCCCCATGAAACCTTGTCGCCCCCCAGTCGCCCCCACCCCCCACTGAGATTTTGAGTTTCTAAAAAAATTATCATTGATCTAAATCTAAATAGTCGCGAATAATCCACATGATGACCACTGAGAAACGACCCTTCGACCGGCGACCGCGGACCAGTAAGCTGACAACCGGCGTGACATCGCGCATAATGATAATCTAAAATGCGTATTAACACCCACTGCACTGCTCGCATACACCACGGAACACGTATTATAGACAGGTGGTCCGTGGGTCACACAGTTTCAGTCAGCGATATCACGCGAATCGGCCACGCACAAACTTTTTCCTCCATTCATATAAGCTAAATAATAATAATAGACCAATTAAAAATCCTTGAAATCAGTGGCGTAGCCAGGGGGGGGGGGGAGCAAATTATCATTGATCTACATGACGCCATGGGCGTCAATCCTGGGGGGACAGGGGGATTGGTCCCCCCCACTTTTTGAAGGGTGGGGGACACAATATCAAATGTCCCCCCCCAGATTTTTGAACTCGTGTCTCATTTACAGGGCCCTATTATGTACTACAATGTATCTTTTGCTTAGAAAATATTGGTTAAAGTGGTCAGAAATTGCCTCAGATAGCACCACAGAGCATTTAGAATCCAAATTTTTGGAGGCCCTTAAGAGGGCCCCGAACCCCACGCCTATAGCTCAGAATTCTGGTAGCTGATTCAATGGCTCCAACCTCAAAAACAATGTTCACAAAATTTTCGTATACCTTTAGCTGAGAAAACCTCGAAAATTATGTTTAAATTATTATTTTTTGTGCTAAGATAATTATTGGTTAAAGTGGTAAGAAATTGCCTCAGATCACACCACAGAGCATCGAGAATCCATTTTTTTCGGGGCCCTTAAGCGGGCCTCGAACCCCACGCCTATAGCTCAGAATACCGATAGCTGATTCAATGACTTCAACCTCGAAAACGATGTTCAAATAATTATCTTTTGCTAAGAAAATATTAGTTAAAGCATGGAGGAAAGTGGTAAGAAATTGCTTCAGATCACACCACAGAACATCTAGAATCCATTTTTGTTCGGGCCCCGAACCCCCACGCCGTAAGGGCTTCGCGCTTCGCGCTTCGCCCCCCCCACTTTTGAGAAGCGATTGACGCCCCTACATGACGCCCCCCATGAAATGTTCCAGCCCCCCCAGCGCCCCCCCCCCCCCACTGAAAAATTCCTGGCTACGCCACTGCATATATTTTATAACCAACAATGTGGATTATCGCAAAGAGTGTCTTGTCTTCATTGACATACTGCTAGTCTATGGTATGAACCGGTATAACCCGGTAGCATGAGTAGGCTGTGTCTTTCCACTGGATCTTCCAGACCTTTGATTGTGTTTCGCTTTGGCCCCTTGGTCCCTGTCATTGGTAAATCGACCCAAAATAGGCCCCTTCTCGACGAAAGGATTCATGTGACGTGAGGCCAAGGCTTCAAGTGGTTGGGACATTCAAGGCTTTCATGTGATGAAGCGGCGATCCGGAAACTTCTCGTTTCTAGGCTTTTAATAACTGTCTAATCGATTTATATACAGAGGGCGCCGACAGACACGCCAAGAAAGAGCTTGTGGCCGAGTTGCAGGTGATGAACACAGTTGGCTCTCATCCAAACGTGGTCAAGCTGCTGGGATATTGTATAGAAAAAGGTATATGAAAAATTTCACCGAAAAGTCCGATTCCATTCTGACTAAATCTGTGGCAGAAGATCATTACAGGCTGACATTTTCACCTCCAGTTTCCATTTGGGTGTTCCCTTTTCCGAGTATTGGAGGGATTACCAATAAGTCTTGTGACCCTGGGCTGGTGATTTGGAAGAGATAAAGAGTACAGCCACCTACACAAAATGAGTTGTGACCGACTTGAGCCACTTATGTGATTTATTCTAGATCCCGTGTACGTGATCGTTGAGTACCTTGCTAAGGGTGACCTGAAGAGTGTTCTGATGGAGTATCGAGACAAGGACCCAGGGACAGGTTACTCCAACCTACCTGGCTTGAGCAAATCACTGTCTAGGACATTGGTCAAGTTTGCATGGGATGTGGCAAATGGAATGGCTTATATATCCTCACTAAAGGTAAAACAAATCAATATATCGATTATTGGTACACATGGTCATTGAAATATCGATTATCAGTATGCCACGGTCACTGCGCACGTGAAATCCAATGCCACACCAATCACGGATGTGATAGTCAAATCAGAAGTCACTACTATACTGGGCGGCACATTATGTGAATCGATCTATTTTTTCTCTACTACGCTTATAGAACCGGTGCACTCGTTAATTATGCTGATCTTGGGTGCATCCAAATTTCGGTGTTGGCAACTGCGTTTATTCTAAGAGGCATAGAGGAGCAACATCCTATCCGTCTATGACCAATGGGTTCTTCGTCGGGCACGATTAGTTATAAGTTTGGAAAGCTTGTATATTAGGTCAAGTATTTCATCTACCACAAAATTCAGGTGGTGGGCTGCGTTACAACTGATAATGTAATAACCAACCGATAATGTAACAACAATTGACCGATACTGGATCACTAACCAATAAAGTTACAAAAAAATGACTAATAATGTAGTAGAAAGTGCTATTCTAATTAACAGTCCATTGTTGTGACATTATCAGTCCTAACCGATAATGTAACAAAAATGTACTGATAGTGTAGTAACATTTTCACTGTCGGTCAATTTTTGTTACATTATCGGTTACTAGTGAAACAGTATCAGTCAATTGTTGTTACATTATCGGTTGTAACAGCTTGTCAGGGTAAAAGGCCAAGCGTTCCTGTGCTCGTTACTGGGAGTAAATTCCACCAAAGTCGGTGAGATGGGTAACATAAGTAACAAAACATTGTCAGTCACTCAATGAGATAGAAAGTAAGATGACACAAGACCATCAAGAATGATCTTTTTGAGATCAGAGACAATCTTACTTTCTGCATTTGCTTCTTAGTTTGTTTTACACCAAGCTGCTTGTTGGTATAATGAGTGGATTTATTTAGATTTTCCGTTGCATTATTATTTTTTTCAGTATGTGCATCGTGACCTTGCCGCTCGTAACGTGCTGGTGGGAGAAGATATGGTGTGCAAAGTGTCTGATTTTGGACTGGCCCGTGACGTTATGAACACCCGCATCTACCATCGAGAATCACAGGTACCATATGAATACAGGTTCAGCAATATCTATATAGATCCGTCCAAACGAGACATCATCAAACTTGCACACTGTATACATCTATTTGATACGAGCCGCACAATTGTCAAACGACAGCATTGCGAGATCACAGTTTTAGCTTAAAACAGTTCCAACATAGAACTTGAAAATTGAAAACATTCACAATAGACTTACCTGTCCGCAGGGTCCTCTTCCAATGCGTTGGATGGCGTTGGAATCCATTTTTGATGACGTGTACACAACAAAGAGTGATGTATGGTCTTTCGGGATCCTGCTGTGGGAGATTGTGACACTTGGTAAGTACAAGACTGTAACATAAATTCGTATTTAATTCTAATTTAATTTTATCAATTTATTAGACATGCATTTTGCACTCTCTGAAAAAACAAACAAAGTCAGATGACATAAAGTACACTACAGTAATATTAAAGTAAGGACAAATTATGAAGGCAATTATAAAATAATACTTAACAACTAATTTGTTAAATCAAGGTTAATAATTAAGGAGCATATACCTGTTCACTTCAGCCAAGGTTTGTAGGTGGAACAGCCTGAACAAATTGTTCAACGTAAACGAAACATAAAAAAACCCAAAAGAAACAGTCAGACACGCAAACGAAAGACAGACGAATCAAACGCAGTAAAGTCATAATGTAATGAAGCTGAATAAAACAAAGATGGGGAGCTAGGCAGTAAAAGAGGTGGATAATTTGGCGACATCGTAGACTTAGTTTTGCGACCAGCAGGCATTTTCCAAGACAAGAATGTGATTGGCAAGGATGAGATTGCTGTGTGACTTGCATGGATAAGATGAGCTTAGGGATCTGGAACGTGAATATTTGTATTGTGATTGAGCTCAGAGGTGTACGTGACTCACTAAGTCAGTCGCATTCTTGATACTTGATATATATATATACATACATGAAAATTCAAATTGTGCACCTTGAACAATAGAGGACAATAGGTCCACTTTTGATGTGCGTATACAATACATAACGGGTATCGTCCTAAAATGCTCGATTATAAACAAAAGGGGTTAAATAGAAGGTCCGCGATTAAAGGTGTTTGCAGAATGTGTGCATGTTCCGAACGATTTTTTTAAAACATTGTCACAATAAAGATTTTTGACCATGTTGGCTGAAATTGTATACCGTGGCGAGTCTCTACAGTCAAATGTTTAAATACACCTCTATTTCCGACAGGTGCGCGGCCGTATCCGCTGTTGAGAGCAAAGACAATGATTAGCCAATTACAACAGGGCTATCGTATGCCGAAGCCTCGACAATGCAAGAAGCAGCTGTAAGTATTGTCGGTTTATGCGGAACTCTCGGAATACTTCAATTTTAATGCCATTACCCTTTGAAGATAGGAAATTTCAAAGTAGACATGGAGATTTAAAAAGTGGTTGTTGTTTGTTTCAGGTATGACATGATGTGCAGCTGTTGGCAGAAGAGTCCCAAAGACCGACCCAGCTTTCAGAGTCTGTATCAGCAATTGGACGACATGGTGTCTGAAGATGCAGTAAGTGACACACGATCAGCTATCAGAAAATTGGAGTTTTCTATTAGCTATCACAGGACTTGGTCGATATAACATAGCTAAAGAGGAGGGACCAATATTTTAATGTTAGCAGGAATAATTGGTGCAGCACTATCCCAACCCTGCGGCGCGCCAAAAGGTCTTTCTCCGTAAACATTAAATGACGATGAGAATACATGTATCCCTTGAATGAGATTGAAAATCACAGAGCAGCAGACTGCTAGCTAGATATTCATGCTGCGTTGGATCTGGGACAGGTTATTAGAAGCGAGGAGTAACATACACGAGTTTTTGGTAAACAAGAAATACACCAGAACCAACGTACTGCATCATTATAAAACCTGCAGAATTAAATCATTCAGTGCATATAAAATGTCTTTTGCCATAGTTTTCAACACATAAATGTAACTCACGTAACATAATGTTATTTCATTTTTTTAAGGACTATATCATCATCACCGACCTTGAGGAAAGCATATACGAAGATAACATCACCGACGACACCAACGAGAAACTGTGATATTTAATTACTTCAAAACGCTATATCTTAAGATAGAAACTTTCAGATATTTTCATGTCAAGTTACTACAGCGCTATTATCAAATGCTGTGTGTCACTTGAATTTACGGAGTGCGGGGAACAGCTTTGGACCTACTGAAAAGTTATTTGTGTAACAGAAAGCAGTATGTGTCATTTCACTCTGTTACTTCAACTAGCCGATTCATTACGTGCGGGGTACCTCAGGGTTCCATGTTGAGTACCTTACTATTTCTTCTTTATATTTATGATATATGTAGTACCTCAGACACCATATAACATTTTGTTTATTTGATGAAGTTTGTTATATACTCACGATATTGTAGATGAAGCAATTATTAACCTTAATATGGAACTTGAAGAGATCAGTACATACGTCTCGCAAATAAATTATGTATTAATGTCGCCATGTCAAATTATATGATTTTTGTGCCAATCAGTACAAATATACACACAATCTGTTCCTTTCATTTTGAATAACTCAAGGCTTAGTCAGGTTAAGATAACTAACTTCCTGGGTGTAACTATTGATGAACTAGCGGCCAAAATATCAAAGAACATTGGAATAAAGAATCGTTTGAAATATTATCTTTCCGTAAGATTTTATTAACATTGTATAATTCATTTGTTTTACCTTACTTAAATTAAAAATTAATGTGGCCTGACGTTGCGAACTTAGCAAGTTCTTCTTCAGAGGCTAAAACAGAAATGACAAAAGAAGGAACAAAACAAAACACAATGAAACTTACATATCAGCAAGGAAGATCACCACGAAGGGATACTGCAACAGAGAAGTTGAAACATGAAAAAAAGTAAGACTGCTGCAAACTGCTTACTGACTGGATGGACCTGAAATATATAAATCTAAAAATTAATGTGGCCTGACGTTGCGAACTTAGCAAGTTCTTCTTCAGAGGCTAAAACAGAAATGACAAAAGAAGGAACAAAACAAAACACAATGAAACTTACATATCAGCAAGGAGGATCACCACGAAGGGATACTGCAACAGAGAAGTTGAAACATGAAAAAAAGTAAGACTGCTGCAAACTGCTTACTGACTGGATGGACCTGAAATATATAAATCTAAAAATTAATGTGGCCTGACGTTGCGAACTTAGCAAGTTCTTCTTCAGAGGCTAAAACAGAAACTTACTTAAATTACTCAATATTGACTTGGGGTAGTTTGCCATCTAAGTGTAACAAAATTACTTACTTTACAGAAACGAGCAGTTCGTGTAATTTTAAATGCTGGTTATCGTGATCATTCTGATCCATTATTTGCTAAAATTAAATATATTACGATGTAATACCTTATATTACTATATTTTAGGACAATTAATGTATAAATTTATGCATAATTTACTCCCGTCCTGTTTTAATACTTGTTTTATCGTAGCATCTAACATTTATGTATATAACACTCGAAGTAGTGCTAGGGGATATGTGTTCGTTCAATTTAACAGAACGTCAACGTAAAAAATTGTGTTATTCATCGAGGCACCTTAAGAGGCAACTGGAATAGTTGAAATGATTCTCTTAAATCATTACCCATGAATTGAAATGTTATTATTTTGTGTATTAATATTTAGGCCTTGTCTCCCACACTTGTCTTGTCTGTCTCACGTAGTGTTTTGTTTGTCCCTTAGTGCAGTACTTTGGTTGTATGATGTATGGAAAAAATATAAAAATTTCTGGCACCGTTTGACCTTTATTACGAACTTCATTTGCTGGCGCAGAGGGAACGGTAGTGAACACGACCATATGTGTGGCCGGCAGTAGGTAATCCTTGGACAATGGACTGTAAGTGGCGCCCGTGCGCTCGCGTGAGGTCAGTAAGTGAATAATCCCTCGGACAATAGACTTAATTGGCACAGATGGCCTGAAGTGTTTATTGACCACTCCGTGCGGTTTGGAAGCAATCGATAATAAGGGGTCCGTGATATGAGGCATAATAAGTATCAATGTAGTTTAGAGATGTTGTCACGAGCTATATTTAGGGACAGTGTTGGAGCAAAGGCTTTGACCCTCAAGGCCAAGGCCAAGGCTTTGACCCTCAAAGCCAAGGCCAAGGCCAAGGCCAAGGCTTTGACCCTCAAGTGTTGAGGCCAAGGCCAAGGCTTAACCCTCAAGGCTAAGGCCAAGGCCAAGGCCCTGTTTTATAAAATGACCACTAATATAGAACTAATTATAGTCACATGACACATCATCACGAATCGCTCATTAAGAAGAACAACTTGTGTTTAATTGCAATCAACATGCTCGCATACACTGTTTTATGACTGCATTGTATCTATTATAGTATAAGTTCAGGTCTTCATGAAAATGGTTTAACTAAAACAAAATAACGATATATTGACGCACAATTCTCCAGAGTGTAACAAAAGGGGGATCCAAGAAACTGATTTGGGAAATTTTTATTTGCTGGGCCAACATGGTCAGAAATATTAGCATTATCTAAAACAGATACATGCAAATCTTTAGCACTTATCAGGGAGACATATACAACCAATCAGATCCATTCCATAATTGTATACAATTTAAGTGATCATCTCATTAGCCCCACAAGTGTACAGAATATTGTTGCAGCAAATCTACTACAATGGTAACAAAATGTGATGCTATAAAAGTGGAAGTGTGCCTAACACACAAATCTATAGGGTGTTTGCCTCCTCCATGGTAACACGGTTAAAATGGTCACAGCAAAATTTCAAACAGATTTATCTGGAAAATGCAAAAATCTATGGGCCTTGAAAAGCCTTGACTCAAAATTGCAAGGCACTGATCCCTCAAGGCCAAGGCCAAGGCCAAGGCTTTTGCCCTCAAGCCTCGAGGCCAAGGCCAAGGCCCTAAAATCCAGCCTTAAGGCAGCCTTAAGGCCAAGGCCCAGCATCAAGGCACTACATCACTGTTTAGGGATATCGTCACTAATTATTGTTAACCTCTGCGTTTCGTACGTGTAAAAAAGTCTACGAAACTGTCGGACTACCGATCATTCGGTCATTTATGAATTGTACAGAAATGGCATAAAGACATCATAGAGCTACAGCCCGTACTGCGCAACATTGTGTAAGCTGAACGTCGTCAAATATGGATATCTACCGAGAAATACAAAATTGTCAAACTGACGAGGAGCTCGGTATTATCTTGGATTTTGGTGAACTCAAAGCTGATCAATCCGCCAACGACGACGACTTAATGGATGCTCCGATAGTACCGGCTGAGCAAGATTCTCAAGCGGTCGGGTACGGCAACAACGACGGCGACTCGGAGATTGATCCAATTGTACCGGCTGAGCAAGATTCCTAAACAGACAGGTACGGTAACGACGAGGGCGACTCGGATGATGATGATCCGTGGGCAGCGGCCAAGGACGATTTTCTAGGACGAGGAGAATCAGCCACCGAGGAAGAGGATTCGGGTGGAGAGAACAGAAGATTATAACAATATTGTAGAAGTCAATGAGAAATTTGTAAAGAAGCATCTAGCAACGACATATGATTATAGAGTTCAGCTTAGGGACATAGAAGACCTATCATTGCGAGAGTTTTTGCCACGCCTTGGTTCTATTTTTGAAAGTATTTTGGAAAGGTTGACGGATGGTCTCCCCGGTGACGACAGAGTAAGGTTGGTGTTTCAATCCAGTTATTTAAATTACCCGATTCCTCAACCGTTTTTATGAGTAGATGAATTAACGGTAGAGAGATTTCTTGCGCGCATAGAACAAGTGTTGCAGTCGTATCAATATCTTCGATTTGATGACAGGGTAGACGTCCATTGCACATGCGGTTACAGAAGGGGGAAAGACAAGCCACCAAGGCGTGGTAAAAATTCACGGCATGTTCTTGGATATAAAGTTATCTGTTATTCAGATTAAAGCCATCGGACGGAATTGACATTGCTGGCCGCACATACACTGTATGTATTGATATGATTAAGGCCAAAAAAAATAAGTCGGTCTCTGGTCAGCGCGTGCGTCGATTTTAATCATGCGCGTCGATCTTTTTTTTTTCCAAAATGTTCCGCGGTAGCTCCAACAGCGCCCTCTATTTCCGCACCTCCTCACTTTTTATTCTACCAAAGAGCACCAAGGAATGGGAAATTGCACCAAGGCAAATGATCGAAAGTACCAAGGCAAATTATGGAGGACACCAATGTACATGAGGACACCAAAAAAGCAAAATAGTACCCCACCTTGTCTATACAATCCAAGCTTGAAACAAAAAAAAAAAAAAAAAAACAACCCAAAAGCCACGTGGCCGCGTCAATTCCGGAACTTTGGTCTGACCAGAGACCGAATATTTTTTTTGGGGCCTAAGCCTGCTTATTTTGATGAGCATAATTCTGACACTCGATCTCTGTATCATGCACTCGAACCAGTGAGCTGTGGAGGCCAGAAGGCGCTCAGATTGTCATGTGTATTGGGGTAATTAGTCACTAACATATTTCGTTCATTAACAAAAACCGGTCGGGGGCTCCTACTAACGTTTCTTTTGTTTGTAAACATTGACGCCATTTTATAGGGACTGCAGCAAGGCACATAAATTGAAGCCGGGGTCCGGCCTTATTTTTCCAGAAAACGTCCTCATTTCGCCTCCAATACATAGTCAAAAGGCAAATGTAGCAATAATGTTGTATGTTTGTTGACAATGTTATATTTCCAACAATCAAATACTGTTTCAGTTTTCTTTAATAACTCTTTTTCATTTTTGCAGTGTTGGACCTTCCATAGTTTTGCAACCCGTGTTTGGCAAAAATGCAGTTTGCCAACTAAGTGTAGAAAGGGCTATATTTTAGCAAAGTTATAGTGCGCCCTCTATGCATGGACAGCCTGTGAACAGAATGTCATAGTTCGCGCACTCCGTCGTTTTCCATTGTTCACTCACATACCTTACGCTTTTCATGCTGATGTTTCTCTGTTCCATTTGCCTCGTAAATTGAGTTAATAATAAATCACCCTGAAAGTAAATATTGGCTGGAGTATC